TCAAAGAGCTGACCGTCTATGGCGGCCTCCTCACGCACACATCCCTCTGCCATATTTCATTTTCAAACACGTTCCTTGCAACTTCAGAAAACAAAAGACAGCTTCGTCTTGTTTACTGGAAGCCTGGTAACCCATTTGACAGACTGTCTCACTTCCGCATGTGTGAAATGTGTTGGAGGAGTTTGACAGAGAAAAACAGCAGACGAAACAGTGGGCTTCAGCATGTCCATTATTTTGAAAGCAGCCTAATGAGAAATTTCAGCAACTCCCTGGGAGGAAAGTTCATTCAACTCAAGACTGAGCTTTAGAGGCCTTTTGGAGCCGCACAATTTCATTTCCTTCAAGTGTAATAAGCAAGAAGAGACAAGGAACCCACTGCTTAGGAGAAGCCCTAAAGGTCAGGATTAATGAAGGGTTGGAAGGTTTGAAGCTTGCAGGCCCAGTTGTGTGCTAGTAAGTGGATATTTCAACAGTCCTTAAGGGAGCTTATACATAATTTATTTTCTTAAGTAGGTACATGGTGTTGAAATGTTTGCACTACTAATTGGACCAGAAAACTGTGTCTTCATGGGTATCTGCCGTTCCTAACCTTTCCCAGCAAGGGCTCCACGTTGCATTTCCCAGGCTCTGTAAGGCGGGGTGCCCCAACAGGTCATACCGAGCCTAGAGGCTGGCACCCAGGCCAGCTGGAGTTGCCAATCTTTCTTATTCCTGGTTGCAGTACCCTGGCAAGGGAAGCTTAGCCATAATCTCCAACCCCTGGCATGTGCAAACAGAAGGCTTTAGAGGAAGAGCACAGACCCAAGCCCAGGTCTCAGCTCTGCTCCCAAACTAGCTGTGTGACCTGGGGCAGGACACTTCACCTCTCTGAGCCTTAGACTCTCCACATGCAGAATGAGACATTTGGGAGGGAAGATTTTTGGCAAAGATGACTTTCACCCTGGAATCTCTGCTTACCAGCTCTATGACCTGGTTCAGCCTCTCTGGGCCTCAGTTTCCTTATCTGTAAGACGGGGGTGATAATACCAAACTCATAGGGCTGCTGCAAAAATTAGTGACAACAGATAAAATGTGAATGGTGCTCCAGAGAGGGTAGCAAAGCCAGTCTGTGGCATCGGGGCTATTCTTAGAGCTACTGGAAGGCAGTGAGACCCTCTCCCCATCCCCACACCCAGGTTTCTTTTATCTAGAACGTGCCAACTATGGACAATTATATGCCAACAAATTGAATAACCTAGAAGAAATGGACAAGTTTGTAGAAACACATGGCCCACCAAAACTGAATCAAAAAGAAATAGATCATTTGAACAGACCAATCACTAGAAGTGAAATAGAATCTGTAGTTTAAAAAAAAAAAAAAAAACAACTCCCTGTAAACAAAAGTCCAGGACCAGAGGGCTTCACTGGGGAATTCCACCAAACATACAAAGAATAACTTATACCAATCCTTCTCAAACTCTTCCAAAAGACTGAAGAGGAGGGAACACTCCCAGAGTCATTCTATGAAGCCCCCATCACCCTGATACCAAAACCAGACAAAGACACTACCAAAACAGAAAATTACAGGCTAGAATGTGCCAGCTTCAGACTGGCGGTGGCTATCCACTCTACCAGTAACTGGTTACAATTCGGTTGTTGGAATCCAAATGTAGATTTTCAAAGTGGATTGTGTGCATCAAAGTATGTCCCTTTCCTACAGAACTCCATGGCCCCAGTGATCTCATTGGCTGCCCTGGGCTTTTAGCAACAGGCTTAACATTCTTAAGGAATAAGCAGTTAGTGGCACATGGCAGTTTCCATCCCCTATACCTACTTCAAGATGAGCTTAGTATCGTGGGGACATAAGCAGAGAGGACAGGACTCCTCAACCCCACCCCCATTCTTCAATTTATGACTGACCTCCCCCGTAACCCAAATAATTTCTCTCTCTTTTGCTGAAAAGGACCTAGTATGGATTCATAACTCGTAAAGATGTCTATTATGTAATCTTCCAAACAAATCCACCATGTGGCAAGATTATCTTGCTCAATTTTCAGATGAAGAAACTGGAATTGGGAAAAGTAAATGCCATGTTCAAGGCCACGGACTTGACAGATAATGAGAAATCTGCTTTGATACCTTGTTGTCTGGCTCGAAATTTCAGTGTTCCTTCCTTGGAACTTCCTTGGTGGTAAAGTCACACCCATGAGTCCCAGCTCTACTACCTGCCTCTTCACTAAGTCTCAGTCTTCCCAACTGTAAAATGGGCATGTGATAATAAGATACCTCCCCATCAGGGTAGTTGAGACCATAATTAAGAATGCTATATAACTCCTATGAAAATGCCAAGCAGGGGCCAGCACGGAGTAGAGGCTCAGGAACTGTTAGTTTTCTTCCCTCCACCTTCACGGGGCCATTGAGAAAGCTGAAGCTGCCCACGTGCCTTCTCTGAACTGTAACACACTGTACCAGTGTGAGCAATGAAACTGATGGTCATGGGGCCCATCTTTATCTCAGGCTTCCCCCGACAACCGCCCCATCACTCCTGGAGATCCAGGTTTGAAACATGCACCATTAATTCTTACCAACCGATTCAACTAAGGACAATTCTAGACTCTTAGCAACCTTGCAAATCCAGCCCTGCCATCCGCGACGGGGCTGTCAGCACTTACCGAGAAGTGCCTTGGAGAATGGCAGGTCTGAAGAAGCAGCAGGCACAGCCTAAAAGTCTAGACTTACATAAATTGTGTTTTCTGGCTGGCGGCGATAAGGCGTAAATTGGAAGCGCGTGTTACACTTACACGTCATTATGCATCGAAATGGGGAAGGGGAGCGGCATCTTGTCCCAAATTTGTAGCAAAACTGCACTGTGTGTACGTAGCTCTCAGGCCTTTGATGTTGAGCAGAGAGGAGAATGATCCTCTCCGAAAAGCCCAGGCAGGAGCGGCTGAGAAGGAGGCCAGCAGAGAAGTGCAGTGATCATGAGCCCACCTGTCTCTGAGCCCCTTCTCCTGCCGCTGCAAAGGTAAACTGTCTTTCCTCTAATAAATACCTTCATGGAAAAGCAAGCAAAAATGCTTAGGAATCAGTTAGGAAGCTGAGAAGGCCAGAGCAGAGAAAGAGAGGGAAGGGGGTGGGACAAGATGTCAGCGTGAGCTCCCGCCAGAACCAGCAAGGCTGCCCAGCACCAAAGCCGCATCCCAGAGGTGGGCAAGGGGATGGGAGTAGCAACAACTTGGAGCCCATTCATTCATTCATTCCACAAAACAGACACAGCCCCCGCCCCCTCCAACGAACAATCGCGTGAATCACCATCTAGTTACACGCTTTGATGTGTGCTATAAAGGAAAATACTGGGAGTGTGAGGTCATAAAACAAGAAGCAGTAGCAGGGCTTGTACAGTCCCCATAATACTTGCACATAGTAGGAGCTCATGCATATGAATATTGATTGGCTGATGGAAAAAGCAAGGCAGAGAGGAGCAGCGTATGGCTCAGAAACATCCCAATGACAATGTCAACATGCTCAGAAAGATCGCGCGTGTTAGAGTCAGACAGACATGGCTTTGAATCTCAGCTTCCCTACTTAATAGCTGTGTGACCTTAGGCAAGTCGCTTAACCTCTCTGGGCTGCGGTTTCTTCCTCTGCATAATGGGAGGAACAGTACCCACCCGTGTTTGCTGTTGCATGGTGAAAGAGCAAGGGGCACAGTGAGGAGGGATGTCATATAACTTGGTCCAGGAGCACGGGAAGGCATCTTGCAGGAGGAGATGCATCAATCCAGTCTTGGAGAACTGAGGCTGCCCAGGCAGAGAGCTAGATGTTGTCCAGGCAGAAAGAGGAATGAGAGGAGTTACAGGCGGCAGCAGCAGCAACTAGAAAACCGCAAGTACTACGTGAACCAGCAGGACACATCCAGAGGTGCTGCAAGTTGTTTGATCTGGCTCCACCCACCCACCCACTCACTCGTTCATTCATTCATTCATCCACTTGACATATATTTCTGGATCACCCCCAGGTGCCAGGCTAGATTCCTCGATATACATGCAGAGGTAGTCTCTGAACCCATGGAGCTTCTCTTCTAGTGGATTCTCGTGGACTCAGATGGGAAGAGGAGGATAGAGCAGGCAGAGAGCATCATAGAAAACTGGGTGTGGAGGGAGGGCCTGGACCTTACTGTAAGGGGGATGGGCAGTCCTCCTGGTGGATTTTAAGCACAGGCTTAATATAATAGGTTTGCATTTCTGAAAGAGTGAGCCACAGTGAACTTAGAGGATGGGCTGGAGAAAGTTGTCTGGAATCCGGGAGCCTAGCTAGGAAACTGCAGCATCCCAGGCAAGAAATGATGGGGGTCCTAAGTTAAAGCAGAGTGCAGAAGAGAGAAGGCAAAATTCAAGTCGGATGTAGAGACAGTGTTGACGGGCCCTGCCGGCTAATTGCACGTGTGGGTAAGGAAAAGGAGGTGTGGGCAGCCGCTCTGAGGGTCTGGCGTGAGCCCCTAGGCAGGTGGCAACGCTGTTCCCCGGGACACGGTGTACCGGAGAACCATCCAGTGGGGCACAGAGGCCGAGGAAGATTTGATCCCACGGGGGCATGCTGAGTGTCGGGGATCCATGGGTCCCCCTGAGGCCACGCTTAGCAGGCAGTGGGATCAGTGTGTCCGGAACCTGAGAGAGAGCTTGGGGCCGGAGGCACAGATTAGAGGGTCAAGAGGATACAGATAATGCCGGACACTTGAAAGGCGCGTTACTGCCCAGGGCGGGGGTGTGGTGTACAGAGGGAGAAAAGAGCAGATCCCACTGCAACAAAAGCCAAAGGGCGTCCAGATGTGTTCTTTGATGCCAGAGTCCCACTTGGCAAAGGGCCATTAGCCGGGGGTGAGGAATCATTGTCGCCAGGAGGGTTGATTGTGACGGGCAGTGGGGACTCTAGCCTGCTGTTGGGTTTCTGGGGTCTCCCCAGTCTCTGGAGCCCAGTCTGAAGTCACCCCTGTGCTTCTCTCTCTCTCTTCTCTCCTTCAGGTGTTTACAAAATATGGGAAGTGTTACATGTTTAACTCAGGCGAGGATGGCAAACCTCTGCTCACGACAGTCAAGGGGGGGACAGGCAACGGGCTGGAGATCATGCTGGACATTCAGC